TAGACCACTTCAGCTCGTACGTTTCTAGGCTGCTGTTATAGGTTCCGTCTGCGTTCCAGTTTTCGGTTCCGGAGGCAGGTTATAGAGCTGTCGTCAGCTTAATAAAGGTGATTCTCTCTTGGCTGACTTGTTCTACTTCGACTCCATTTTGAAATATCGTTCAGCTCAGGTACGCAATCAAATAGCTCTGCAGTTCTAAAGCATATGGAATGCACGGCGTAGTAAGTGAACGAAGCCTGAAATTGACTTCTCGATCTTTCACTACACAAGCCTCGAATTTGGAATTTGCCTTTTTATTGCCCAACAGATTTTTCTATAATTACCTTCATTGATTATTCGCTTGATTCTGACGATTTTTTATATGGTAAGCCTGAATGATTAGCTCGCAAACCAATTAAAGGAATCTTCCGCGGAAAAAGCTCCGCCTCCATTACCACAGAAAAACGATACCCCTTAGGCCCCTAGCCTCATGAGCATAGCAAAAAGAACGGAACATAAGCGTTAGTTTCGATAATACTAATCCTACACACAAGACAAAATGATCACTCTTTCCGTGGAAGATTCCTTTAAGGTATCGTTTTCTGTGGTAATGAGGGCGGAGCTTTTTCCGTGGAAGGATTCCTTTAATCGCAGTAAACCTGGTGATTCTATGTAAGTTTGTGGCTGGAGTAATCCTCTCGCCTTGACACGGGTATAAGCCATGCACTTGACCGCTCTAAACATCAAACGATGCACTAACAATATGGTCCAAACGGTCACTCCAACCTATTACTTTCCTTGTGAGTTTAGCGCCTTCATTGGCATGAGCAAAAACAACGCCCGGAATATAAACTACCACTTCACTTCCAGTTCCCTCCATACTCCTTTAGCTGCTGTGAAAAAAATTATGGGAAAACCGTTTATGTTTATTACAACAAAAAACTGACATTCATCAAAAACTACAGTTATTAAATTATCGACTGGGAATGGGATTTGTGTGCTGTTGTCACTGTAGAAAAGGCAAATACACCCAGACAGCTTGTATTTTAGCAAAGAATCAGAGTCATCTACATAAATCACTTTCAACAGAGCAACAATTCATGAAGATAAGTAAGCGATATGAGGAAGACAATCAGATGCATTCGAGCGCGGCGACAAGAAAAACACACTTCAAGAACATGGTACAGATCGCATACTCGCGTTTTTGGAATGTTCATTTCCTAATAAATAATATATGTATTGATTGGTATTCGATGTATCAGACGGAACTGCTTAATTAACATTTACATCTTATGAACAATCTTAATCCGTGTGTACAGCCGCAGGCAGTAAAGCTGACTAGTAGTGGCCGTATAACTTAATCATTCAACAGCAAAAAAAAAGAAAACAGACACAAACTTATAGGAACTCTAGCCAACCAACGTGCTACTTATTTCGAGGTAGTCAACTGAGTTTTCATCTGCTTCACTGAGTCAATCACAAGAGATATCTTTGGGTTCACACCGACTGATTCGACCTAAATCACAATTATCAGATTTTTAATATTGTATTATTACCGTAATAAAAACATTGAAATTTAGACAACCCACATAATATTCTTGCTAGCGTCACTTACGTCTGAGAAGAACCGTCACTGCAACACGTTCAACACATTTTTGCTTTATTTTTTTGCTTATTGACCACTATCATTTATATATCCACCGTCTATGTCCACCACCTGTCCACAACCCTCAATACTGAAGAAAAAAATTGTAGAAAGAAACGTTGTAGCGCTTTCCACTCTAACATAATGAAGCGCTTAGTCATTCGCTCTCTCTGAACAACTATATATCGTCCGCCAGAAAACCTTTGCTCAGCAGAAGACGGTCATTTAAAAAAAACAAATCCGCAAATTGACTACCAGCCATCCCAGAGCGCAGGAAGTGATGGCGAAGCGGCGATCCATGAAAATGTGCCCAAAGGACATGGGGTGGCTAAACAGTTAAGTACGAAACATTTAGTGTGAATGACGTGCCGATGAGCTGCCAATGAAAAAGAAATGCGAAAGAAACCACTAAAGACTCCTCAAATAACTCTTATTTTCCGAGGTGGCGAGAGCCTGGAGAGAAACAGTCCAACATATAATGTGCGAAAGGTGAGGGAACGGCAGACGAAGCCAGGAGAGCATACTAAAGCGCCCTTTCCAAGCCATTTAGAGTCACAGCAGTGACCCTGCCTCTGCGCTTGTGGAGCCAACAACCTGATCTGTGGGAGGATTAGTCAAATACCTAACGCGAGGGATGACTTGGAAACAAGCGGCCTATCAACGATGAAGATGGTATGGCTTACACTTTGTAAAGGTCTTAGGAAACAGAAGTGGTAGAGGCTTCGAGAAGATCTCGGGAACTTATGAGTCTACTAACGTAGGCTCCAAAGATGAAAACTAATGCTTTCAAAACACATGTGGGAATATTAGGTGGCATGCAATTAAAAGGAAAACCATAAAATGCTAACAAGGAAAGGCATAATCCAATTACAGACAGCTGGTTCAATATTTCAGCGCTTACCATATGAAACATTAAAATTTAATGATCACACCTATTGATACTATCGTAGTTTTTATAATATATCATGGTGACGAACATGTATGTAAATCATAAATTCATAAAGAAACTGAAAAAAATCAAAGCAAAAAGTAACTTCATAAAGCATATCGTGCAGAGACCTACCTCCTCATATCTGGCCAGAATCTTATCGATGGCATTTGTACCCGCAACTATCGAATCCCGCTTCTTTTCACTTCCTGATCCTTTCATATGGATGCGTCAAATAATTCGTGCACTGCAATTAAATGCAAAAACATCAAATTGTAGGAGATAGATAGTGCGAAAACCAAGCCTTACAATAACGATCCCATACAAGGCTCGTAAATCTGAAGGATTGAGCTTGACGGCTTGTTCATAGTAGGCCTTAGCTAATTCGATATTCTCTTGGCCACCTTGAGTCACTAGCGAATGTCCGCCAAGCACGTTGTACGGTACAAGGTACTTAAGCAGGCCTGGAACGGCAGCAATATGCAAAACAGAGCCCAAAAAGACTTTCAATCAGAAAAACACATTCGCATAGCACAAAAACTCACTGCCGCTGCTAGAACACATTCTTCTAAACAGTGCGCAGCTTTTGCAAAATCCGATTCGGCAAGAAATAGCTCACTTACAATTGGAGCCACGCTTCCGAATCATTCAGGAAGATCTGAAATCGCCAAATGAATAACATACTGAGCTGGCAACAAATGACTATTTACCACACCTTCAAGTAGTCGTTGAGCTCACGGATAGCCTCAAGTCGCAACCCCTGTGCCAGTAGAACTGCCACTTTCCTTTTTCGAAACGACTGAAGGAAAAATTATTATATGGACATGGTAAGACGTTTTTGGGATGTCTCTCGCTTAGAAAACACTCGTATAAAACAAACAAACACTTAACGACGAACTACGTTATAGGGGAATCCGTCTTCTAGAGCCGCTCAATACAAAGCATAGCGGTGTCGAACCTTAAAAACCCAAAAATTGGAACGAAAAAGACTTCTCAAAAACAATGGAACATAACGTACTGTTCGGCAGCTTCATGATGCATAGCTTGCAGCCGTAAGACACGATTACTTCGAGGAAAACGGCGATTGAGAGCTGATATGCACTCACTGGCAAGGTCTAGCCTGGCACAGTCAAGGGCGGCTACGCAAACCTGAACACACCGCAAACTTAGACAGGTCTTCTGTGCTGTTCCAAGCAGAAAAAATGCTCTTCAACCACAATTCCCATTTTCCGAGTATTAAATTAATGAAACGGCACAGCTAACGAGGGGATAATTAGCTGAAGTGAAAGATAAAAAAATTCAATTGCCGACACAAAAAAAAGGATGCTTTGAAATAGCGAGAAAGCAAAACATCCAAAAAACGACAAACATTTGAATATGAAAACTAACCTGTTCATACACCATCCATAGCTCATCACCTAGTAGAGATGGTGAGCGGCTCACAACGTGCTCCCACAATTCTACGACTTCCTCACTGCGTCTGCTATTTGTATCTCTCCAATCATGAAGCTGACGTCGACCTACTCAAAAAGAATAAACGATAAATGCACAGTAAACCATTTCGATGAAGATGCTGCTGGGAAACCCAGGTAAACAAAAAAAAAACATAGGTATAACATGCTCACAACCCACCTTCGAACGATACATTAGTCCAATCTTTACCATCGGCGTAACCCATGCTAAGAAATACAAAATTAAACACCTTACTTGGTGTACCGACAATCAGGAAAGTAAAAGGAGGCTTGATACCTCATTAAAAGTATCCAGAAAGAGACAATTAAATTAGAAACATTTATTAGTATGCATTCAAACCTATCGCAATTTGAGAACCTCGGAGCAAATCGAAAGTTAAACAAATACACTATGAAGGCTACTTATTAGATGATTAAAACTGTACAGTAACCGGAACGTAAAGCGGATCTGATCCTAGACTATATCAACCTATATATAAGCAATGTCCTGAAGAGAACATTGAGCAAGTAACAACAAAACCAAATGAAATATGCCAAAAACAGTTATAATGCAGAGATTATGTCAAGGTATTATGCGCATAAACAACGAAGGATATTAAAAACATAAAAGTTACATCTTTTCTAGCAACAGCATGGTGGTTAATCCATTGAAGGATAACGCCACTCGGTCAGGGGCACACTTGTTTCTTTGATAGTGAGCGGGGACGTCCACCTTAGGCCATAATGAGGGCCTCCTGCTTTGTCATTTGTTCCTGGAAAAAAAAAATTTTGAGTAAAACACCATCAGGATTTATCAAAGTAATAAATAATAATTGGATTTTCTGATCTTAACAACGCAAAATTCAAATTGAGCGCTCCATTACCTGACATGCGAGCTCCTCCAAAGGGTTGCTGTCCAACAACGGAACCCGTCGACTTGTCGTTGAGGTACATGTTTCCTACCGCATCACGTAGAACATCGCGAGCACTGAATATTTTAGTTGGATTGATTCACACTCACAGAAATAACACAAATACTTAAAAAGGATAAAGTACTAAAAATACCAAAAAGAATAACAACAATAGAAAAGAAAAAGCCTATGAAGGAAAGTTTATTCTTACTGATATAAGAAGTTCTTGTCCTCCGAGAAGATGGCTCCTGTAAGCCCATAAGGAGTATGATCCTGAAAATGAAAAATAGGCAAATTTGTGCAAAGGTGATTACAGAGCCGTCGCAATATTGCGTACTGCACAACATCAGTGACTTAGAAAAACACACATACCTTTACAGATCTAAG